GGACTCTGTGGTGTTTGAGGTGCCTCAGCTCCTCTGACCTGGAGCACCTATTAGACAACAGGTGCATTTATCTCCTTTACCATTGTGCCTTCCTCCAGATACATGTTTGTTGAGGAATAGGAAGCTGTCCATTCTCCAAAGAAGCAGCACTATTTCTGTTTCTCAAGGTGTTTTCAGGGTGTGTTTTTGTTTGTGTGTGACTGGGTCTCCCGGGCAGTCCCGGAGCTCTCTGTGTGGACCAGGCTTGTCTCTGCCTCCAGTGCTCTGGGATTAAAGGCGTGCTCCACTATGCCTGGCTTGTCTGCAGTTTTGTTGGTTTCCTGGAGACAATGCTATCAGAGAAATATGTTTGAAAAGTCGGGTGCAGCAGAATATGTGGCAAAAGCAATCACGGCTCTGAGGGATCAGAAAGAAAGGAGAACCGTGAACTGGAAGCCCACTATTCCCTGCCTCTACTGATTGACTCCTAGATAATCTGCACAACTGGCTGAAGGTAGGAATTGTGATCTCCATTTCTAGATAAAGAAACTTGATTCAGGCTGGAGATACAGCTCAGTCGTAGAGTGCTTGCCTTGCTTGCACAGGCCCTTGCTTTCATCCCTACCTCCCCAGTCAAGGTAGAGGGAAGAGGAATGAGGACATAGAAACAGGGAGAAAAAAACTTGGTAAGATATCGAGAGGTCTATGTTTCGGTCAAGGGAGTTACCCCAGCTTTTTCTAGGTTGTGTTCATTAAGTTTCTATTCCTCAATGGGAATAGATCATTTATTCAGGGCCTCTTACCTGCTTTGTCTCTCCCCTCACCGCAGAATCCCAGTGGTAACCTCATTCCACCCCAGTTTCCAAACCTAACTCTGTTCTAAGATATTTTATTAAGTTTTAATTTCAGAGAGGAAACAGGAAAACCTTGTTCTTGGTCCAAGAATCCCAGTAGCGAAGTTTATATATTTTACATTTATCTAATTTTTCTGAGACAGGTCCTTCCTACAGGAGTTTATTCATTTTGTACGGTGAACATTTTGTGAATGACAGAACATTTTCAGTTTTGCCAAGGGATCTCCAGGCAAACTTGTCCAGGCAAAGAACTCTCTGGAGCATAGCTGAGTTTGAGGTCAGCCTGGAATGTATTTGAGACCCTGTCTCAAAGAAAGAAAGGAGAATAGGGAAAAGGAGTGAAAAGGGTTTAAGGGGAGGCGGAGAAGGAGGGAGGGAGAGAACTGAGGCCAGAGAAGAGATCACCAGTAGTAGTGGTTGCAGACCTTCAAGCTATTTTAGCATTGGCATTCTTCCTCGCATAGCATACTGCGTGCTGTCTGGCTCTGCTAGGGGTCACACCTGAATACCAAGGCTGGTCGCACTCCTGAGTTCTCCTGTTGCAGCTGTCTCCGCACTGGGCATCTGAGTAAAGACGCTGCTCCCACACTTATACCTAAAACTTCAAGCTCTTTCTCAGATGTGTAAGAGCCTACAAACACAAAGGCATAGCTAGGAACCCAGAGGAGGGGAGATTCCTTACCAGACACCACCTTTAAGTCCCACCTCATCTTGCCCTTCCCCTCATGTCTCCCACCCTTTCTAGCCTTTTGTTCCATTAAACCTCAATTTCAAGCTCACGGTCCTTCCAGTTAGTTTTCTTGTCATCACCTCCCCAACTTCTCAGCTTGTTCCTGGCCTCTTCCTCTCTTGACGTCCTTGAGCCCTGTGAAAAGTCAGCCTGATGGTTCGCTTTAGGGCGCCTTTCAGCATCCTGGGCTACCTCTGGTAGCTGTGGCCAGTCTTCACTTCTCCACCTCCTCCCCCCGGTGTCTCTCTCCACTCCCACCACGGCTGACTTGTCTCTGTAACTCCTCGCGATCCTTTCTCTGCACCTGCCTCCTCGGGAGCTCCCTCCAAGGTGTCCTCTGTCTCCACATCTCCTTTCCCTGGGCACTGAGCCTCTGTCCCTTCAGTTCCCTTGCCCACCTCTCCTGCTCCCTCCTGTTCCGCTCTGGAGGATTCGGTTAGCCGCCCCTCTTCGCGGGCTTTGTCTTGACTCTCTCCACTCTGACTGTCCCACTAGTTTTTCGGGTCGTTGTTCGTCTCTGCTCTAGCTCTCCAGCCAAGTCTCTCTCTTCTGTGACTTCTCTCTTTTGTCTCTCCCTCTTCCTTTCCTATCTGGGTCTCTTTGGATCTGCCTCTTCCCCAACCCCCAACCCCTACCCATCGCTGCGTCTGTCCCCGGTCTCTGGCTCGGTCCCTCCCGGCCTCCCCCTCCCCCTCATCTCTCGGTCTCTTCATCTTTCTCTGGGCCCGTGCTCCCTCGCTCCCTCCCTCTCTCTCTTTTCCTCGGCTCTCTCCGGCTCCCTCTCTCGCCTCGGCTGACAGCGCTACCTCTTTTGTTGGCTCCGCAGCCAATCGCGGCCGCTGACGACACGGGGGCCGGGGCTATAAAGAGCCCGGCCCGGGCTCGGGCCCCCCCAGCCGCCCGCCCCGGCCGCCCGCCCGCCCCGCCCGTGCGCCCG